ACCACTGCTGAGGTCAAGATGCTGCTTACATTGGGAATGAATCCTATCAGTCCATGGGGAGTATGTGGACAGTAAGTTTGAATAACTCTTTCTTTATTTGACCTTTTTGTGACATATTAAACGCTAAAAGTTGATTTTTAGTTTGAAAGTTGAGTCCTGAACAGTAAGCTGTATGATAATGCTGTCCTTCACGAGAAGCTCAGGAAGCTGCAGCTTTAAGCATTTAGGTTGTGTGTGGGCCTTCTATCAATCTCATCGACTTTTTCCCTACACAGCATGGACTCACACACCAAACGCTTTATACTAAAGGGAAAGTATTCCAAATATCTGCAAGAGTTACTAATGCAATCCAGGGAAAGAGTCTTGCAGGCCAAGAGGCTTTTTCTCTCTGGTTCCTCACGTGTGGATGAACGTATAGTTGAGTGAACAAAACCAGCTAGACTTAACTGGGATTTTAGGCTGTTTACTGGGGCTCAGGCGGTTGGGGAAGGGCAGGGACGTTATGATGGAGAAATCCTTTCATACCCTTGAATTTGTTTTCATTTTGTTTGTGCAAGTGTCAACGCCAAAATACTATAAAGCGCCTTTATTTTGATTCCTAGAATGAGGCTACATTCAAATTATAATCTAAAATTCAGGGGTGGGCCACATGCAGTTGAGATATAATTGACTGTTAGCGTTTTTGTAAAACTCTTATATGAAAGTATACCAGAGTGATATGAGACTGAGACCAGAGTGATATGAGACTGAGACAAGACCGAGACATTTAGGGATCAAGACCAAGTCAAGACCAAGACCATAAATATCACTTTTAAAATCATCATGTGTGCAGCGGGCGTGTCACTCACCACTCATCAGTAACACCAGGAAGGTTGCGGTGGTAACCAAGAGATATAAATCAAACTACAAATGAATTGAAGTCATTTGTTCTTTTAGAAAGGAGCATCGGAGGTGGTCTTGACTGGTCTTAATCTAAAATCAGGAGTCCGCCCAGTCTGAGACAGAGTAAAATACTTTCAAGACGAGACCTAAAAAACAGTGGTCTCGAGACCGGTCTTGATTTCGATTACTACAACACTAGTGTGTACATTTGAAAATAACCAGTAAATACTCTGTTCATTGCATTGGAAAATTAAACTTAATTTTGAAGTAAGCATATTAAATTAAGGATTAACAATTGTACTGGAGGTTAAAATATGAATGTTGGTATCATAGAGGCTGATAAAAGCTATGTATTCCTTCCTTTGGTTGAATTATAAGTCCACCGAAGAGTATCCTACAATTTGGCCCTCTGACAGTGAGAATTAAATATATGTGGCCCTTGCTGTGACCAAAGTTGCCCTTTCCTGGTCTAGATCAACACCAATGGGTTACACCATCCAATCTGCATCCCGATATCTGACTTCTTTGCCACACCTGTTTAAGCCACAACCACAACTTTATAAAAGCCTGCGCTCAGGTCTGTTACTTCATCTTCCATCCAAACCAAGCCTGACCTGCTATAGAGAACAACAAAAACCTCCATGTGAGTGTAAAATGGATCTTTCACCTTACTTCATTCTTATTTTGTTGATATATTATGAATTATTTCCAATACAACACATGTATTAATGATAGTTTTAAAAACAAAATTTAGGAACTTACTTGAAATTATTCTGATTGGTTTGACATTATTTATCAAGCTCTGTAATATTCCTATTTGTCATCAGCTAAAATCATTCACAACATCTACAAAGAGGATCAACTTTTGAAACAGCATCAGATCCTGTGTACAAACATGTGAACTCAGAGTTTGCGTTCCTTTGTCCTTACGTTATGTTGATTTGTGGTTTTTTGTGGTTTTGTACTGATTTGTGAATTTGTGAATATGGCAAAATCAGTAGCATAAAAAAGTACCAGATATTACAGTTTTAGTACATCATTGACTTTAAAAAAAATCAATAGTTATACAAACATGAGATTACAATTTGTCATTTAAGTTTGATCTGTGTTGCTGCACGGAGAATCAGTTTGACTTTGACATCCTTCTTTCAGTTTAAAAGAAAACTTAAACCTCGGCAGAAATTAGATGATAAAAATTGTATATTTATAAGCCCTATAAAGATACCTGACCTGGGAATAAAGTCATATCATCCTGAACAACTTTCTATGTCTGCAATCAGAAGTAATCTCACAAGAAAAAGTAGATTAAGATTAACTTTATTGATCCCTGCGAGGGGAAATTTCTGTTTTTACACTCTGTTAACCATGCAACACACACATGCACAAACAGGATCCTATGGACAAGCACTAATGGAGAGATGTCAGAGTGACGGAGCTGCCCACAGCGGGCACTCCTGAGCTGATGGTGGGGAGGGGGTTTGGTGCCTTGCTCAAGGGCACCTTGGCAGTGCTTAGGAGGTGATCTGGCACCTTTCCAGCTACCAGACCAACTTCCATATTTGGTCCACACTGGGACTTGAACTGGCAACCCTCTGGTTCCCAACCCAAGCCCCTACAGACTGAGCTACTGGCATTAATAGACACACATCTGCAATGTGCTCATTTCTGGATGTTACTGGAGGTCAATATATACATATTATAGTCTCATCTTTTATTTTTGGATAGAATGATGACAGACAGACAGACTTTACATGCTTCTGGATACATCATGAGGCTGAACATTTTTGTCATCATAGAATGAGAAAATCTTTTACAGTCTGAGGGGTTTCTTATGTTTCCTTTCTGAAAGTTATGACAAAAGCAACACAAAAAAGATCAGTACCTGTTAAAACTTTCTCCAGCAGAGCATTTATTTCATCAAATGGTCAGGGCACACTTTACCATAGAGAGTTGAGTAACATTGCCATCTTGTGGCCATTTGATATATTTGCAGTCCTCAAATGGAGTACACTATAAATCTCTGTCTAAAGAGCAGGTTAAACATGCAACATTCACGCTACCTCTAAATGTTTCTTCAGAAGTAACTTCTAATACTGATTTATTTCTAACATCCTGTCATTTCTTCACTTCTTTATATGTTTAGATTTGTTAATTTGACTTAAGAAATTCTGATGCATTTTCAGTTTTGTTTTCTGAAATGTTTGGTATATCAATAAAAGAGGAGGATCATGAGGGTAAAGACCAATAACATGGGTGTGGTGGAGATATAAATGTCAGATGTTTTAAAACCCTGAGCGTCATAAAAAAAAGCCTTTAAATTTAAATGACATTTACCACTTGTCAGATCAGCATCAGAAACATTAACTTGATGTAAATGCAACATCTTACAGCTTCAAAATATTAAAAACTATATAGATAGATTTTTCAAAGTTACAGGGAGCTGAGGAAACAAGTTTTGTACAAAAAGAAGGACTTGGACAATTGGAGGAAAATTTGGAGGTTGGTTTTCTAGTTATAGTCGATTAAATTCATGGTTGGCTTTTGGTAAGTTGTATCGTTATTTTAAACTGATGGTTTAATTTACCAATTTTGCCTTTTAGCTTGTGTAAAACTGAGGTTAGCCTACTTAATAAATGACTGACTTCTTTCTCTTTTATCTAGTCGGGGCAAAATGGCAGAACAGTGAGTACCTCTGTCTTTGTTAAACCAGTTTACAATATCCCAACTTTATAAAGAAATCATTTTAAGTTGGAAGTTTCAGCACTTCTTCATACTGTTAATGCTTTTTTTTTTAATTCTACAGACCGATCATCACCAAGGTAAAATACTTCACGTCTTACCACACATCACACCACATTTTTGCGGCTGGAGAGATAAGAGAGAATAAACAGAACAAACAATGACGACTTGTTGAATAAACCGCACACAAACACACCTCCACAAAGTTAAGCCTGTGTACATGTATTATCCATTATCAGTCTAAATTAAAAATCTAATTAACTGGGAGGGCTTTGTTCTCTAGATGCTGAATATCCCCACCAGTGGTGAGGACAGCTAGCTTTGTGCACCTTTACTATCCAAACCAACCCTCTTTGTTCTCCTTTCCTTTAATCCTAAAAAAAAAGGAATAGGAACACGCGTTGTATTGAAAGGACATTTTCAGTGTCCAATGTTTTGTTCTCTTTGTTCTACTAGATGTTTAATATCCCAACCAGTGGTAAAGTCAAAAAAACATTCTTTGTAGCATCAGCTTTATTCTTGGGCTCATTTCATGCTTATGCTATACCTCCCAGAGCCCTCAGACAAACTTGAGCTGGTCTCCATGGTGTATTGTTTTATGCATTTCATTGTTCTTAGCTTTTGTTTGTTTGTTTTCTGCCAGGTGTTTAATGATCCCATCCATGGTAGCATAGAGTTACACCCACTCCTCATCAAGATCATTGACACACCTCAGTTCCAGAGACTTCGATTCATAAAGCAGCTTGGAGGTGTCTACTTTGTTTACCCTGGAGCGTCTCACAACCGCTTTGAACACTCGATCGGGTAAGTCAGCAAGTTTTCAGATTTCAGCCCACAGGTGACCTCAGTCCAAATAAGGAGAAGACTCATGGTTTTCACATAAGCACCTTGTAAAACCAATAAAGGCAGAAAACAGTGCCTGTCTTAGTATGGATCTAATAAAAAATATGAATAAAATATATATAATAAATTGTGATAACTGCGTTATAATTTAAAAAATGTTTTCTGTGGTCTAAAAAGGGTGGGATACTTAGCAGGAAAACTTGCTGAGGCTCTCAGGTCAAGGCAGCCGGAACTCAATCATGACAGAGACGTCCTTTGTGTTCAGATTGCTGGCCTCTGTCATGACCTGGGTGAGTAATGCATCCCTTTTCAATATTACATATAATAGTTTATAAATTATGTTATTGGGTATGAAAAGAGTAAAATGAAAGTGAAATGTTTCAGAAATAACCCTTCCATCTTTCAAAAAAGCAAGGGCTTCTGCATTAATACATAAAAAATACGAGGGTGGGGTGAGGTGGTGGTAGCTCGGTCTGTAAAGGGACTCTGATAAGAACTGGAGGGTCTGAATCTTTAAAAATAATATTTAGACTCAGAAAACTTTAACCCAGAGGGCGTTTCGGTACCACAGTCCACCCAGACCATGCATACATTTACAAACACATAACAGTCTTTCTTGTAAGCAATATTCTCAAGTTTAGATTCAGGAGTAATCCATCCTCAACTCAAACAGGTTTATTAAGACATACTGACTGTATAATCTGTACACTATCAGTGGATTACGCCTGTATTTATCTATCCATTTCAAGGTCATGGACCCTTTTCCCATCTGTATGATGGACTGTTCCTCCCAAAGCACTGGAAAAAAGGAAAAGAAATGAGAAAAAATTGGGAATTGGGAGAAATGGAGAAATTGGAGAAATGGAAGGTAAGAAGTTTTTATTTCTGTTGGAATATGACAAATGAAATACAGAGGAACGGCAAAACTGAAGCACATATACCTTTCACACTGGCTTGTTCTTTTGAAACAAAATCCAGGATGTTCTTTTTTGTTTGCCTTCTCAGGTAGAATGTGATTATACACATTTCCAAGAATGTTGATCTATTTCTTTAATAACAATGAACTGTGTAGCTTGTGTTGCTAAATGACCCATACCCTGTTCTCTTTGGTAATAATATGTCAACTTTTTATCTGACATGTTACCGCTTTTCAGAAGCTCCATGAGATTTTACTAAATGTTTATTTTTTAACCATTAATCCTGGTGATTCAGAGATTTAGATACAACAAACAAAGATAATAATTGAATTCATGGTTCATGAGAGGTAATTCTTTATGACAGGGACCTCTTTTAAAAGCAGAAGGGATTTCTAGATCTGTTTATGTCTCTTTGTCACTCAATAAGAGAAGATAACCTTTATTCATCCCACAACGGGCAGCAAAGAGCAAGGATAGCCAAAAAAGAGTACACAGTGCACAATTCAATAACTTCAGATCAAAAGAGTGCGATTGTTGTGTTTACATCCAAACAAACCGGGCTAAAGGGGAAACGCCCCTTTGTTTCAGAACAACTTTTCTAAACAACCCAGGTGTGAAAAAATGGTTGGTGAGAAAACTGAGCTGCATGATCACCTTCCCAAAAACTCTTATGCTTAACAGTTTGACATCGGGTTGTGTTCAGCTAGCTAAATAACCCTGATAAAGACTGTTAGGATGTTGTATACAGTATATTGGCTGACATTAAGTGGCTCGTCAAATTCTGAAGCGCTTTAGGAACTCTGACATTGTAAATTGTTTGTACATACATTTTGAGATATACTCTTCAAATGTGGGGGAAATTAAAGTATGTGGGATTATTGTATTTATGTTTTAAATCTTGTGTTGACACATTTATGAGTCTGTGTGTCTCGCAGCATGAAAAGGGCTCTTGTGACATGCTAGACCACCTGCTGAAAGAGAATAATCTTGAACCAGTGATGAGGCAGTATGGACTGGAACCTGAAGACGACATACCATTCATCAAGGAGATGATTGCTGGACCTCTACAGGAATCTGAAGGGCAGAAGGCAAGTTCACCTCATTATGTTATTCAGAAGTCGGATAAGATACTGTATGAATATAAGATAAGAGAAGATAAAACTTTATTCATCCCACAACGGGCAGCAAAGAGCAAGGATAGCCAAAAAGAGCACACAGTGCACCATTCAATAAAAAAATAGATCAAAAAAGTTGAGGAGCCAAAATAGTGTGATTGCTGTGTTCACATATGTCTGAACAAACCGGGCTATGGTTTCAGAACAACTTTTCCAAACTACCCAGGTGTGAAAAAACATTTGGAGGGAAAACTGAGCTGCATGATCACCTTCCCAAAAACTCTTGTGCTTAACAGTTTGACTCTGGGTTGAGTTCAGCTAGCTAAATAACCCTGATAAAGACTGTTAGGATGTTGTATACAGTATATGTCCACAGAAAATTGGCTGACATTAAGTCACTCAACAAATTCTGAGGAATTACTAAATGGAAATATTGTTAATATGTAAAAGCAATAAAGGAAGTAAAAAAAAAGAAAGAAAAGGCAAGTTCACCCCATCTGTGCATAAATCAGTCTGTGTCCTACACTAATGTCACTATTTTGTAACATCTCCTCAGTATAAAGGCGGACAAGAAGAGTCCTTTTTTTTATCGTGAAAAAAAGTTTTTCTTCTGCCTAGACCTCCAATTGAAATTGGACCTGCTGTTTAATTTGTCATGCTTTTACTTGTACATAGTTTATTGTGTTCATATTTTAGCTTTATCTCTGTTTTGTGGAATGGTCCTACATATTTTTTCTATGCAGTGTAAATTCATTGACAACAACATACGTGTCAATAAAACTGGTCCTGATTCGCTTTGTGTCGTCATCCCTGCAGTGGCCGTACGAAGGGCGCCCAGAAGAAAAGTCCTTCCTCTACGAAATTGTGTCCAACAAAAAAAACGGCGTTGATGTGGACAAGTTTGACTACTTGGCCAGGTCAGGTTTTAATGAAGTGCTGTAGAGCAATTCATTTTGTGATGAAGACCACTACAGCACTTCTTTTTTTTTTTACCGTGAACAATGCATTATTCTCCTGATTATTTTAAATTATAGGCTACAAAACTCTCCAGTAAATTCAGTTTCCCTCTATACACCTATTTTCTTCACCTTGCCTCAATCTGCCTCGACTCAGGGACTCTTACTACCTGGGGATCAAGAACAACTTTGACTTTCATCGCTTCCTGCAGTTTGCCAGAGTGTGTAAGGTTGAAGACAAAGACTGCAAAGAACGAAAAAGGGAAACTATCTGCACCAGAGACAAGGTGCTGACAAACTTGAGCTTGTAAACAGATAATTGAAAGCAAACTGATAATGTTGTTCTTTATGACTAAACTACAGTCCTAACCTCAACAGGAGGAGGACAATATGTACGACTTGTTCTACATAAGACACCGTCTCCACAAAAGAGCCTATCAGCACAGAGTAAACAAAGTCATTGAACATATGTAAGTGTCTACCTTCAGATCTTAGTACTCCAAATATAAGATTGGTCTCCTTCTGATTTCCATTATTTGATCTGCGTCATGATTCACTATCTCATCAGTAATAATATGTTTGATATGAACATACAGGATTGCAGAGGCTTTTTTGAAAGCAGACGGTCACATTGAGATTGAAGGATCACTAGGATCAGCAGAATCAGAAGGAAAAAGGATCTCTACAGCCTTTAAGGACATGGAGGCCTACACAAAGCTCACAGGTGTGTAGATTTAAATGTGGGCTGTTAGCTCATGTTTAACATTGAAGCAAATTCAGACTTCAGAAATATCAAGACATTGTTTTAAATAATGCACTACACCCAACAATCTGAAAAGGAAATTGATGTAGGCACTTGGTCAGTTTTGGTGTTTGGTGTAAGACTACTGTTATGCTACTTTATCAGTTTTTTTAATTATGCACATGTAAATGAACCAGATCATGTTAAATAAGTTGTAATGACTTATAAATTAATATGCCATGTCTTACAATTTATTGAGTGTGTTTGAATTAAATTCACTAATTTTTGTGTGTGTTATTATCATTTGTTTGCTTGTTACTCTGTTACTCTTTTAGACAACGTGTTTGAGGAAATACTGAAGTCTTCCCGTCCTGAGTTACAAGAGGCAAGAGAGATTCTGCAAAACATTGTCTCTCGAAAGATCTACAAGTTTGTTGGTGAGAGAAAGCCAAAGGTACCCATCGAGGATTGGAAAGTAAGTCTGTGTTCTTGTGTTTCATTACATTTATTATACATGATCTCATGCACCGTTATCATTTATCATATCGTTGTCATACAATACAAAATCCCTCAGTGAACTAATGCTGCATGATATTGGGGAAACTGCGTTTTCTTTTAATGTTCATACTATTACAATTTTTATTATTATTTGGGTCTTCATGTTTATTTTCTTTTACAAATAAGAACCCCTTATACATTCAAAGCTACATTTAATTTGCATCAAGAGCCCTGTGACATTAACTTCTAAGCAAAGAACACTTCATCTTCATACACTGCATGTGATCCCTTCTCTCTCTCTCCCTCTACACTTTATGTGCTCATGGACTAACACACGTCCTGGGATATTACCATGGCACTTGTACACATAGCAAAATTAATGCTTAGATCATACCATGCAGCCCTACAGTCAAACGCATTTACATTAAGTTGGTGCAGTTTTTTGAGTGAATGTGAATTGAATTCCAAGTTTCTTACATTGTCAACTTAAAATGCAAAAAAACTTGAATCTATATCCTTTTCCACTGTTGTAATTTTTTTCTGATTCCTTGTCAAGAGCCGGATTTCTGGCTGGAAAGAAGGATTGGCTCAACCCTCCCTGAGGAAGAAACAACCTGAAACCAGAGGACTTTGAAATCCTGGTGAGTTTTTTTTACCTTCTTTCATCTCACTTTTTTGTAAAATCTTCAGTTTTGCTGATGTTTTGATTTATAAGATGTTGCAGAGTTTGTTATGGCACACATTTTACTCTCGACCTTCTTTTTAGGTCATTAACATGGACTACGGCATGAAAGACGAGAACCCTGTTGAACATATGCATTTCTACAGCAAGAAGGAGCCTGACGTGGCAAAGCCAATGTCCCCAGAAAATGTCAGAACTAATTATTGATTAAAACAATTTTTTTATCGCAATCATTCAATATTTCTTCTGTTTATTATTTGTAAGGCAGCTTATGTCACCATAACTCTCAAATTAAAGCTGCTGTCATTCTTTACAGGCATCCAGGATTAGAACAGAGATCTTTTCTGAGCAGCTGATCAGGGTCTTCTGTAAGAAGATTGATGACGATAGTGTGGAGGCTGCCAGACAGCACTTTGAACAGTGGTACAGTGATTTTCCAATCCTTTGATAATAGTTGAATATTAAGATGTTAAAGGATACAATATCGACTAACTTGCTGTTGATTGAACATAAAACCAGTTGATTTGGCTAAAGTAAATAGAAAACAGTCCACACTGAGTACAGTTTATTTAATATGGTTGAACATGTGATCTACAATCTGCTGAGTGTGGAAAACATTAGCTGTGCTAGCATCCTCAGCCTTCGGTCTTCCTTTCAGGTTAACGTATGCTTACCTGTGCTGGTGAAGCTCTACTCTAATAGATTTGATACTTTAACTTAACAAAATACTGCCAAAGTGAGCAACACTCCAACATGTTATTGGTCCTTTGTCCTGGTTTGCATCCAGGTTAGACAGCAAGTCTAGACAGTCAGTCAGGTTTCTGTACTGAAACAATTTTACTGACCTGTATTGGAACCGTGCAGGACTCTGGTTTGGGGCCCTCAGGTTAAGAGAGGTAAGCAACAGCAGCATGGGAGTGAAACCAAAAGATTAACCAACCCTCTGGTTTCTTCAACTTTCACTCAGGAGCAAAAATCAGCTTTTAAATTTGAAAATTTGAAAGTAAAAATGATTGACAATTATTGTGATAATTATATCGACTGATATGACATTTTGATAACATTTTTAGTTTTTTTAGCCCAGGCCTATAAGCTACGGGTCTTGTTTTGAATAACGCATATCCTTCATGAAAAGAAAAACGGACATGTTAAAAAAAAAAATCCCTCTTCATACAGTGTGTGCTGATTGAGACATGAGATAATCAGACCAATTTAGCTTTTTTAATCGGGCTGTAAACATGTTTATTTCTGCTGTAAAAATTGGCTTTTCTGAATGGGTGTGTATGTGACATATTATATAGTTATTATTACATTGAAAGGCTGTTTTAATATATGAGCATTAGAATGGAACAATGAGCAGGGAGGGAATGATTGCATAGTGAAACAGAGCTTCAGGATTCTTTTTTTTGCATATATATGATTTTGATCTTTTTTTGATGAAAAATTAATGTTGGTGTCTTCAAACTTTTGTATTTTCCTACCAATGGACAAAAACTTTGAAATAATGTATTTTATTACTTGAGATTTAAAAAAACTGAAAGTTCTCACCAGTGAGATGATGGATCTGCATGATGAGTGCATTGTTTTGATTTAAAATAAGTTGAATGTTGGATTGTTTGTTAAATAGAATCATTTCTTCTTCAGTTTATCTCTCACTAGGTTTACTCTGCACTGCTTTCTTTAAAACAGATGTACTTGTGTGTCTTATTAACATGCAGGTTAAGGATGGAGCCAAATCTGGCTTGGACCTGAGGGTAATTAGAGCGATCCTCCTGAGTTGACACCAGGAAATACCAAACAACATGAATAACACTGAATAATATTCATTCAGACCTAGCACTCATGTTTTTCTCGCTTTTTACATTACATGCTGTATCATTCTTTTAAATTGATTGTTTAAAAATCAGTTCCAACAACATACAACATGTTTTTATTCCGAGGACAAAGATAAATCATAATATATGATACCACTCTGTACAATTACGGGGCCTGCAGTCAATATGAAACAGTATCATTGGCCCATTTAATTCACTGTGTTACGCTTCTATTGACTCACACAGAAAACCCATTCAAAATTTGATACAGAAAAAATTGGATACTTTTTTTTTAACATTAAGGAAAATATATATCAGTTATAAAGCCATATCTCAAAGATCACTGGATCTGGATCGCTTCTGGATTTGAATTTCTGATCTCTAAACTGATACATAGACACACATGACACTGGATACTTACACAGCTAGCAGCTGTATGGCTGTTGAATACCATTTAGGTAAAGAAAGCCATTATTGAAATCCAACAATCATTGTCTCAAACTGAATATATAAACTGCATGTTTCTGAATTGATTCAGCTTTTGGTCACATTTATGCTTCTTTGTAGGTTGTGAATTCTTTTTGGTCAGGGAAGATGTAAAGCACTCCCAACATGTGTAATGGAGTGAATATTTCACTTGTGGTTTTATTTAGGGATTTATAATACTCAGTGGTGTTTTAGTTTTGATGTTAATCGTTTGAAGATTGAGGACATGAGATTAGATTATTTGTCTTTGAGTGGTGTTTAATGAGAGATGATCATGAGCGATGTTTTGGTGACTGGTATTATCTTATATTACTTTGTATCTGCAGCATTTATTATCACAATACAATTTTAACCTGTTTTAAAATGAGTCTTATTTTGGGCATGTTTTATAATGTGCTCTTCTTTTGAGTTTATGATTCTTACTTTAAAAACTGGAACTTGTGAAAACCTTTATTTGCATCTAAAAACTTGAAATTCGAATTAAACAATACATTTTTAAACGTATCCATCAACTACCTTTCTTCAATGGATGATGAATGTGTTTAAATGTATGACACACTTTAAGTGAAGCTATAATTGTTTGACGATTGGTTCTTACATAATGCATCGATGAGAACCTTTCAAGTGTATTCCTGTTGTGATGGGTTCATATCTGATAAAATCTGCATGTATTCAAAATAAACATCAGAGAAAATCCTGAGTTCAACATTGTGTAATCTATCAAACCATATGCATCTATATATATATATGTATATATATACACTGTATATATCACCTGTGGTACAAATCTAATTGCAGTTCAAAGTCCTTTACAAAGGAGCGGAAAAATGACTGACAAAAGGTAGTTTGTAAAATATAACAGCAATAAGAAATGAAATCAGCACGATGATTAATAAATATAAATACTAAAAACCTAAAATCAAACACTAAAATGTAAATTTAAAAGTAGAGATGAATAATATTGATTAAAATATAGTAAATCAAAAGCCTTAAAATGATTAAGTCATATAGAAAAGCCAGACTGAATAAATGAGTTTTTTAAATTGTTTTTAAAAATCTCAATATTCTCTGATCCTCTGAAGTCTGTTCCAAAGTCTCAGAGCAGCAAAACGCAGAATCACAAAAGGTTTTTGTTCTGCTCTGTGGAACAACTAAAAGAAGAACCGAACAAGAAGACCTGGGGTCGTCCTGTTCATAAACTAAAATCAACTCTGAAAAGTTAATCTGGTGGGAGGCCAAGTGCTTTAGACAATAATAAAATCAATATGAAGACAAAGAGGCAGCCAGTGTCAAGACTTTCAAAGATAGATAAAATAGTTTAATGGGAGTTGTGTGTGTAATTGGCAAAGTCATTAACATTCATTCATTCAATCAAATTCATTTAATCTGTTCTTTAGATGTATGTTTACTGCCCTCACATGCTTCACAGGTTGAGTTAATGTCGACATTGCCTATTTAAACACATCATGTTAAGTTTATTTGTCGGACACAGTAATCATCAACTTACATCATTTGCTCATTTGCATCAACAGAAACAGTGTGTGGAGTTTGGATCACATGCTTTCTATCTGATTTAAGCAGAGTTCAGTTGAAAAAAAAATAGGGTAATTAATGAATAAAAACAAAAAAATGAAAAAAATGTAGCATCATTTATGGAGGTTCACATTGTAACTCCTCATGCACAGAAAAAAATAGATGGCTAAATCTAGATCCAATGTGTTACACTGACCTGCTAAAGAGAACAACGGAAACCTTGATGTGAGTGGAAAATGGACTTTTCACCTTACTTCATTCTTATTTTGTTGATATATTACGCATTATTTCCAATACAACACATGTATTAATGATAGTTTAAAAAAACAATTTTAAAAACTTACTTGAAATTATTTGATTGGATTGACAATATTTATCAAGATCTGTAATATTTCCTATTTGTCATCAGCTAAAATCATTCACAACATCTACAAAGAGGATCAACTTTTGAAACAGCATCAGATCCTGTGTACAAACATGTGAACTCAGAGTTTGCGTTCCTTTGTCCTTACGTTAGGTTCATTTGCTTTATGTTGATTTGTGGGGTTTTTTACGACTGATTTGTGTTTTGTGAATATGGCAAAATAAGTAGCATAAAAAAGTACCAGATATTACAGTTTTAGTACATCATTGACTTTTTACAAAACAATAGTTATACTAACATGAGCTGACATTTCTGCCTAAAAAATTAGTCAGACAACTGCAGCTGATCCAGAAAGCTGCTGCTAGAGTCCTCACCAAAACCAAGATTACCAGAAAAACCAAGAAAATACATTAGTGACCTCCTGATTAATTATGAACCATCCAGACCGCTCAGGTCGTCTAGGACAGGTCTGCTCTCTGTCCCCAGAGTCAGAACCAAACATGGAGAAGCAGCATTCAGTTTCTATGCTCCTTATATCGGGAACAAATTCCAGAAAACTGCAGGTCTGCTGAAAGTCTCACCTCTTTTAAATCCAGGTTGAAGACACACCTGTTTACAGCTGCCTTTCATTAAACAATTTTAATAAGATTCTAAACTTTTTGTATTTTTACTTTATTATTTGAATAAATTTTATTTGAATTATTTTGATTTAACATATGTTCAGATTTAATAATTCCAGTGATTATATATTTTTTAATGTTATATTTTAATGTTTCTTTTCTTTCCTCTGTCATGATGCTTTTGATGTCTTGTGTGAAGCACTTTTGAATTGCCTTGTTGTTGAAATGTGCTATATAAATAAACTTGTCTTGCCTTACATTTGTCATTTAAGTTTGATCTGTGTTGCTGCACGGAGAATCAGTTTGACTTTGACATCCTTCTTTCAGTTTAAAAAAAACTTAAGACCTGGAAGAAATAACATGATAAAAATGGATATTTATAAGCCCTATAAAGATACCTGACCTGGGAATAAAGTCATATCGTCCTGATGAAATTAAGAAAACCAACTCTTTATGGAAGTAAGATAACAAAGTGAGATATGTTAACATAGATATTATCTTCAAACAACTTTCTATGTCTGCAACCAGAAGTAATCTCACAAGAAAAATTAGGCGATGACTCCTGGCATTGATAGACACACATCTGTAATGTGCTCATTCTGGATGTTACTGGAGGTCAATATATAATTAGTCTCATCTTTTCAGGGCACACTTTACCATAGAGAGTTCAGCAACATCGCCATCTTGTGGCCATTTGATATATTTTGCAGTTCTCAAATAGAGTACCGGTACACCATAAATCTGTCAAGAGCAGGTGCAACATTCACGCTACCTCTGAATTTTTCTTCAGAAGTAACTTCTAATACTGATTTATTTCTAACATCCTGTCATTTCTTCACTTCTTTATACGTTTAGATT